AGGGTGGGTGCAGGTCCTTCCATGACTATCCCGGGCTCACTGCTCGTGTCGGTGTGGGGTGAGGAGCCTGGGGAGCTCCTTTCTGCACCTCTCTGCAGCAGAGAGGGTTTTTTTTCAATTTATATTGTATGAAGATTAATCTGAAAGGGAAAGTGGGCATTTCCTCAGAATGGTATGTGGTTATTTTTGTGTTGGACTCAGCTAGGCGTGTACTCAGCCGGAGTGGCAGATACATCATCTGAGTTCTACAATAAATTTGTCACTTTTAATTCTATTTTGAAAGACTTAAAGATTCAGGGATTTATGATAGGGATCTCAGTCAGTACAAGAGAGAATAGGGGAAGGGGTGACATTGACTTCTGCAGGCCTGTGGGGTTCCGCCTGAGGACTTCACCCTTCCAACAAGCTTCCTTTTTCCCAGGAAAACACAAGCAGGCAGAGGGTGACCAGAGGTATTTAATACAGCCATGCCACCCCTGCCTGTGCCTGGCTGCTCCATATCCATTTCCCCTCCTGAGCCCAGCATGTCCCTGCCTTGCCAGTGTCCCCAGCTCTAGCACAAGCATCTCTTCCGCTTCTCCTCCTTCTCCAGTGCCTGAGCCCTGGGCAGCACTGGCAGTGGGATGCTGCTCTTCACCCCGTCCCACGCCTCAGTGGCCACCAACCGCCCCGTCTGCAGCGCTTGGTAAATGGCCACCGTCAGCATCTGGAAGGCCTGGACGACATTGGAAGCATCTTTGGCTGAGGTCTCCACATACTGGACACCCAGTGAGGCTGCTAACTTCTCCGCCTCCCTCTGGCCCACCCGGCGCTGCCCAGCCAGGTCACTCTTGTGTCCCACCAGCAGGAAGACCATGCGGAAGGGCTGGATCGTGTCAGTCACCTCTCGGTGCCATTGCCGGATGCTCTCAAAGGACGAGCGGTTGGTGATGTCGAAAAGCAGCATTCCCCCAGCCGAGTTGCGGTAGTAGGAGCGAGTCACGGACCTGGGGTGGGGACACCAAGAGCAGGGGAGTGAGTGGCCCCTGGGGTTTCCTGTGTCACCTCGGGGAGCATGTTCCCTGCCTACAGAGTGGCCCTGGCTAGGACCTGCTCCTGCAAGCAGCACCTTGTGTTCAAAGCACCATGAGAGGAGTGAGAATCAGCCTTTTGCTGTGTCAATAAGAGCTCCAGGGGCAGCTCTGTCTGTGCTCAGCCACCTAAGCACATCTGTCTCCTGCAGCCACAGCCCCCAAGTGCCCCTGTGTCTGCAGCCATGTTCCCAGGGCTCCACCATCCCTGCTGTCATGGTCCTGGAACTCTTCTGTCCCTGCTGCCATGTTCCCAGTACTTTCCCATCTCTGCTGCAACAGTCCTGGAACCTTCCCATTCCTGCAAACCCAGATCTGCCACTTTCCCATCCCCTGCAGCCACATCTCCCAAGCTTTCCTGTCACCAGGAGCTGCCTGGCTGGTGGAGACAGCCCCACAGTGAGGTGTGAAGGCTCCTAGCAGCTGAGCTGAGGAAGATGTTTTGCCCAGCACTCAGTGGGCTCCCAGCTGTTCTCCAGCCCCTCTGCAGCTGGTGTGGCAGGGGGGTTCTTGGGGGAGTACTGCACCCCCTTCAGAGCAGGAACAAGGGCTTACAAGGCAGTCCCAAGGGCTCCTTTTCCTCGGCTCTTGACATGGTGGTTCCTTACCCAAAGGGACAAGTGGAAACACAGCCACATCAACAACCTCCTTGGGCTTGGAATCACAACACTCCACCCCAAATCTGGAGGGGGACACCTATCTCCACCACCCCTCCTGACCCCATGGACCCACCTGAACCTCTCCTGCCCGGCTGTGTCCCAGAACTGCAGCTTCACTTGCAGACCCGGCTCCAGCTCCACAAATTGGACGTAGAAGTCCACCCCCACCGTCTGGTTGACAGCGTCCAGGAAAACACCCTCGGTGTAGCGCCGCAACAGTGAGGATTTCCCCACTGTCGAGTCCCCCAGCATGATTACCCGGAACTGGTACTGCCACCGTGGCTCCATCAGTGCCTCTGGTGCCTGCCAGGACCTGCCACCCCCGCACCAGGAGCGTGTTCAGGCAGGCGGGGAGCTCCTCCACCCAGGAGGCGTTCCCTGTACCATTGGTGCTGTGTGGTCCCTTTGGAGCCCCTTTGTCCCCTTTATTTTGGCTCCATCCAGCAGGAAGCACTCAGGGGTGCCTGCTCCCATTTTCCCATGGACAGGACACCCTGAAAAGTGTCCTAGACAAGGGGAGCCGTTGCCCCACCAGCAATGCCCCCAAAAGCAGAGGATCCCCCATGCCATGGATTGAGTGCTGTGCCTCTGCCTGGGATGCAGTGCTCGGCACAGCCTTTATTTAGTGTGGAAAACACTTAGGTTTATTAAAAACACTCCTACAGCAGAGCACTGTTTTTTCAGAGCCCCCAAATTAAGGTTTGAAATAAACCCAAGCCCAGGTGGGAGACCCAATCCCATAATCACCCAAGGGCTGCAGGTTCTGGGTGGAGAGAGAAGCATCCCCACAATTTGGGGTCCCATGTCCCCCTATCCCCATCAGCACTGACAGCGCTCCTGGGGCTCCCTCCCTGCCAGGGGCTGGCGGCGACTCTGGCTGGGGATGAGCCTGATGCCATCACATCCCTGGTGTGGGGCAAGGATCCCCCTGGCCAGCGCCTGCTGGATGCCTCCAGCCAGTGTCTGGAAGGCCAACTCCACGCTGAGGTTGCTGAGGGCCGAGGTCTCCACGAAGGCCATGCCCAGAGTGGCAGCGAGGTGTCCAGCTTCCTCTGCTGACACGGCTCGCTTGGCCACCAGGTCACACTTGTGTCCCACCAGGACAAAGGCAGGCAGCCGGTCCCCCGCAGCCTCATGGTACCACTCAGGAACATGCTCAAAAGATGCCCGGTTGGTGAGGTCAAACACCAGCAGCACTCCCGCCGCACTCCGGTAGAAGGACCTGGTGATGGATCTGGGCATACCCAGCAGATTTTCAAAGGATACTGGGAAGCTCTGACACCGACAGCCCTAGGATGGGTCTTGTCTTGAGATTTTTGGGTAACAGCTTGGACCCCCAGTAGTTGAAAAGAGAGACCTGTCTTGTCTTGTCTATTTACACCGCTCTTTTCTGTTCAGCATCCCTCTCCCCAGACTGGGGGAGCTCCAGAGGAAACCTGTGGAGTTGTCAGAGTCTCTGTGGTACCGTTTATCCGCTACAACAGCCCCAGATGCAGTGGGGGTGGGGCAGCACTGGGCAGAAATAGGGCACCACTAGAGCCAACCCTGGGGTTCCCAAAAGGTTCCCGGGATGGGGAGGGCCTGGGAGTCCAGCTCCAGCCACAGCACTTTGGTCTGCAGCCCTTTGTGCCCCATTTGAGCCTCTCTCACACTCCCAGGTGCTTCTGACTCCAGCCTGATGCAATCAGGAAAGAAACCATCCAGCCCCAGCCCACGGCAACAAGCACCCGGCCGTGCTCCCTTGGCTGCTGTCCTGAACAGCTCCAGTGTCACTGCAAGCTCAGCACAAGGTCTCACTGGCCCCTAAAGCATCACCATCCCAGTGAGCCATTGCTGTCTGTCCCTGCATACCCAGCTGGGGATTTACAAACACCCCAGAGTGGGAGGATGACTCAGTGGGGTGCTGGGGTCCACACACCCACCTCACCTGAACCGCTCCTGACCAGCCGTGTCCCAGATCTGCAGCTTGGCCTTGCCGGCGGGTGGCATCAGGATAGTCCGGCTGTAGAACTCGACGCCGATGGTGGGGCCTGGAGTGGCTGCCCCACCAGGACCCCCACCCGGCCCATCCGTGAAGCAGCGCAGCAGTGAGGACTTGCCCACGGCTGCGTCTCCCAGCACGATGACACGGAACTGGAAGTATCCCTCAGGGTCAGGATCCAGGGGGGAATCTGCCACTGTCTCCATGGCTGAGCTGACTAGATCCCAACCCACCGCATTCCTGCTGTGCTAGCAGCGAAAGGACAGGTCTCCACCCTTGTCCCCACCCCACCTGGGGACAGGGACAGCTCTGGGCCTGCAGTCACCTGGACAGACAAACAAACTGTCCCAGGGAGGGAGTAGCTGCCAGCTCTGTCCTCATCCTTCCCGGTAACACTGAGGAAAGAAGTTTGTCTTCTTCCCAGCTGTACATACAAAAAAGGGATCGGAGCTGCTGCATAACTCTTTTACCCACTTAGGAAACTCATTGAATTAATTTATTTGACTTTTTAATTCCCTTGTTTTTAAAGCAATTTTTATCCATTTACCTGTTTCCCAACAACCAAACTCCAAAACACAAATCCTAGCAACAGCCCAGCATTTCAAACTTTAGCAGCAATACGGGTTCAGCCCTAATGACATTGGCATTTAGTCTTGGTTGTCACCAGGATGTTGTTGTGTTGCCACATGCCAGCTGCACATGTCCGCCTCTACTGGCAGCCCCTCATGTCTCCACTGCCTGGCTTTGGTGACAACAGGGACAGCCAGGCAGTGAGTGCACAGACTCACTGGTGTCCTGGTAGAGCTGCGAGATGCTCCACAGGGGAAGGCCTCTCAAGACCTGCAGGTAGACTAGAGGAGCCTGAGGCACCAGCTCAATATTCCATGACAAAATTTTACCTCCAGTTCAGAGACTTTGCCACAGCCCAGCCATCCAGGGACAGAAGAGTGGCTCCAACTCAGAGGCTCTGGCTCCCTACAACCCATTTTTCTTCATGGTGAGGAAACAAGCAGCCAGAATCACCAAGGCTCCAGCTGAGGGTGTTGGAACATCCCAAGGTTGCAAGAAGTTGCTCCAGTACCTCCATGGAGGCCCAGGTGTTTCTGCATTCCAGGGACCCCTGAGGAGGGCTGTGGGGAACACCCACTGCCAGGGTGCTGCAGCAAACACAGGACTTGCCTCTGAGCACTGGTGAACTCCACTGGAAGGGGATGCTCAGGCTCCATGGCTCAGAGCCAGCCCAGCCTCACCCATCCCAATGCAACTCACACACACAAGACACCACAAGGATTTGAAGTAATTGCATTTATTCAAAATCCTATCACACACACAGAATAGTCCAAGTTGGAAGGGACCACATGGATCAGCGAGTCCAGCTCTTAAGTGAGTGGCTCATACAGGGATCAAACCCACCACCTTGGCATTACTGGCTCCCTGCTCTAATAAAGTATTTAATATCCAGACCCCCTCCTGAGAAAACTCCATGGAACAGACTGTTCTTCCAGGTGGAGCATCTGAACTGGAGCTTCAGCAACACCTGGAGCCAAGCCAGTTCCATCTCCCTCCACTGCAGGTGGAGCCCAGAAGTGGCTAATCCCACTTGGTGGTACTCATAGCTCAGGAAGGAGCCAGGATCTGGCTCTGCACAGCTCCCACTTCTGGAGGTGAGGGGTGGGAAAGAACAGTCTGGCACTGCAGCACCAAGTCCCTCAGGGATGGCTCACCCTCTGCTTAAGACCTGAAAAAAGGGATAAAAAAGAATCCAGCTGAGTGATGAGCAGTCAGGCTCAGTGCGGTGTCAGATTCCATCCACATTCCAGGACTCCTGGACGTCCCCTCCCCTCCCTGAGGTTTTGGGTAGCTTATGCCTGGCCTCAGCCCCATATCCGCAGGACTCATTCAACAGTCTCCAGACTCGGGAATCATCACAGACCAGGCTGCACTGCCACTGATCTCACCCACACCCCGCACCACAGATGTCAACTCCGGTCAATTAAAAGCCTCTGAAACAAGGTTGATCATTCCCACCTGCACAGTCCAGGTGAAAAATTGGCCACTTCCAGCACAGTCACCTTGAACAGTCCCATCCTCCAGACCCCACTCCAGATCACGCAATCCCAGAATGGTTTGACTTAGAAGGCACCTTAAAAGCTCACCCTATTCCACACCCTGCCATGGGCAGGGATACCAGACCAGGATGACCTAAGCCCCATCCAAGCTGGCCCTGGACACTTCAGGGATGGGGCAGCCACAGTTTCTCTGGGCAACCAGGGCCTCCTCAACCTCACAGCCAAGAATTTCCTCTCAGTATCTAGTTTACCCTTACTGCCCATCCCAACACCAGGAGTTCCCCAGGACACTCACATGTTCTGCACTGCAGCTTCACCACAACTCAGGTCCTATGGGAAGCAAGCTGAAGCTCTTGGGACAGGGCTCACAGGTTCTCATCTTTTTCCACAGAATTATTGCTGAAAAAACAGAGCAAGAGTTTAGTGCCTGAAGCCAGTGGGTCACTGCAAATCCATGGCTCAGATATTCCTGACAAATTCCAGCCCCCCAACCCTCATGGCATGTCTGCCCCCTGTGCCCAATGTTTACCCCTTCTCCTGACCAGGAGTTTCCTTCCCAACCAGAATTCCCAAAACAGAGAGGCCAGCACAGCCTGTCTTCCTAGTGGCCCCTCTCAGCCAGGACACACCTGCAGAGAGCCCAAGACCAGCATGAATGTTACTCTTCCTCCTTTTTCGACCACAAGATCGGTATTCAGATCTGATGGGAAAGGGATTTGGAGGGATGAGCTGTGGAGATCCAACAAAAGTACTACCCTCTCACCTGGGTTTATCCATCAGATGGGTGACTTCTGGAACACCCAGGACTCCTGGAAGACATCACAACATACCCCCAATATCAGCAGTGGGCTGCAGACTTTTGTGGGCACACCTTTGACTCATTTCACCCTGGAACCCCAAGCAAGAAACAGCCCAATTTCCAAAAACGTATTGGAGGGGTGAGTGACAGTCAAAGGCAGAAGAGGCCCAGCAGTCAAAGACCTTCCCGTTGCTCTGGCATGTTGTTGGAGACCTGCAGCTACTGCATGGAGCCACAGCTCTTGGATTAACATGCAGGTAAACACAGGAGTTTATCCAGTAAAGTCTGTGACACAGTGATTGACTAGCTCTGGGATCAGGGCTGACACCCTGTTCTGTCTCTAGGGAGCCCCAGAGAGAGGAACTGCCCGTATCTCACCCACACATGATCTGGATGGGGCAAGAACTAAGGGAGTTTGCAGGGTCCAGTCCCAAGGACAAGCCCTATGAAGGATGCACACGTGCTAGCACTGCCCAACAGCAGAAGGGCAGCAAACGCTGCTGGCTCCTACTCTGGTCCAGGGAGGCCACAAAACCAACCAATTCTCAGCCGCTCAACAGAGGACTCCAGAACCTGGATCGCCCATCTCACCTGCCCAAAGCTGAGGCTGTCACCAGCCATCCCATGTCCCGGGATCACCTTCTACACCAGGATGCTGCTGGTGAAGAAGAGAGTCTTGAGATTTAAGTAAATTGCAAGAGAAGTTAGTTAAAACAAAACTACAGAAAGACGGGATACATCCCTTCCCCTCCTCCCACGCCGTGCATCAATACGGACCCCAGGGGCACGGATTTGCGGCGGCCGCCTCCTTCCAGCAGCAGTAACCCCCCCAGCCCATGGCAGGCTCTGTACTTTCCCGAAATGTTGCCGGACAGTTATCAAGATTCCAACTGAGCGGCGACCGTCGAGGAAAATCCCTTTTCTCTCGGCTCCTTTTTGACTGCATCTACCACAGCACCGACAGACGCAGCTTCGATAGGGCCGGGCGGCTCCTCCGCCCGCGGCCGCCTGTCCCGGGACAGGGCATTAGCTCGGCCTCGGGGGTCCCTCACTCACCCGGGGCCGGGCCCGGCCTGAGGAGGGCGGCGGGGGCAAGGTCGCGCTGCCCTTCGCAGCCTTCGCAGCGCACCGAAGCGCCGCCGCCGGACGCGATGCCCACAGGGCGCCGATGCGGCGGAGCCGATGCGGCGGGAGAACCCCAGCGACGAAGGATGGCGGTGGATAGTTCCCGACGGCAACCGCACAACCACCATAGCTCGCCGCCATGGCCGAAAGAGGCGGAAACTGCTCCGCGGCCACCTTTTATAGCGCGGCAGCACGGACTCCGATTGGCTGCTGGTGCCGGGCTCTCTCGCAGAGGCTTCTGGGAGTTGTAGGTCGCGCCGCATACAGTCCCAGTCATCGTTCCTGCCTTTCCCCCTTCCAGTCTCCCCCTCCACCCCATCACAAAGCATAAAAAAGACTCCTGAACAACCTGCTCTATGTGTTCCTGCCCATGGCAGCGGGTGGAACGAGATGAGCTTTCAGTCCTCTCCCAACCCAAACTATTTCAGATCCCATGATTCACAACAACCCCCACTAGCACTGGGAGCAACTGCACACCCCCACCCCACCTAAATGACTCTCCAGTCCGGGTGGGACAAGTACAATTTCTCTCTCCTTCTCCATGCAAGGTCCACACCAGGGGTGCTCTTTGAAAAGCTGAAAACAGCAGCTGCATTTCCCCTTCTCCTTCCTCCCTTTTGGAACGGGGTTGGGGGTGGGGGGGGGAACACCACCCTCGGGGAACAGAAGGAAAGGTTCTTGGAAACAGAAGTCTGTTTCCCAACACAATACCTCTGTAAATCTCCTGGTTCATGGTTCATAATTCATGGAAAGGATTTAAAATGGCAGCACCTGTCAATGGGCTGGAAGGGAGTGCTGGAACAGCTGCTGGTGCTGATGCTGAAGGCACAACCACAGTGGGAAAACAGCTGGAAAAGCCTGAGAGTGCTTCCTACCTAAGTCCTGGAGAAAGGGCAAAAAGGATGGTCATGTTTTAATCTGTTCTGAGCAAACCAACAGATGAAAAAATTGCCAGTGTTCAGCAATGACATTTTGAGTTGGTAATTCCCTCCAAACATGGCAGATCAGCAACAAAATAAACACTCACCCACTTAAGGCCAAGTCTGGGAACGAGCCCCAAACTTTTTGTGGCCAAGCCCTCCCCAAGACAGTCCTTGCCAAAGCTGTCAGGGACAAGGTACAAGCACCTGCTCCCATTCTCCTCCTCCATGGATCTCACAGCTGCTCCGCCAAGTCATGAGGCAATCCCTGCAGTCTCCTTGGCACAGTCACTGATACAATGTGAGCCTAAAAATCATGTCAAATCCTAGGGCAGAGTAAATCCTGGGAGATTTTTGTAGGAAAAATCATCCAAAAAATCCCAAAAATTCAAACCTTGGCAAACACTGCTTGGGAAAAAACTCTTCCAAATGCTGAACTGGGAGAATCCCCAGAGAGGAGCAATGAAAAGCAGTGGATGCCCAGCAGACCTCAGCCTGCCAAAACCAGATGGATGGAGATCCAAGAGTGGCAGAGAAAAATCCCACTGCATGTCCATGAAACCTGATGAAACCTCCCGAGAATCTCTCACCAGCCTCTTGCACAGCACAGGCCAGAGAGCACATGCTGGAAGAGGCTGCAGTTCCAGCACCCGACAGATGGGAGCAGACGATGCACAGAGATGTGAAAACGATCAGTAAGGAAAAGCAGGCGTGCAGGAGCGATCCAGGTAGATTGTTGTGCCCATGGCTCCCTGGGACACATCCAGGGGCCGAAGTAAGTCTTGGCCATGGTCAGCTCTCAACTCTACCAACTGTGCTATCCACCATTGCTTCTTCTCTGGAAATTTTACAGCAGAATCAGCATGATCTTTGAATGATAGAATTATGCAACATCCTGATTTGGAAGGAACCCACATGGATCATCAAATCCAACAGAACTGCACAGAACACCCTGAGAATCCCACCACGTGCCTGGGAAAAATGAGTGTGTGCTGAGCAGGACCCCAAACACCTTCTTAAAAAACTGACTGCACTTGGAAAAACCATTTTGACTTGGAATAACTGCTAAGGAAGGAAAAAAAAAGGAGGTATTTTTGAAAAAAATGCTCTAGCCAGGAAAAAAAAGAAAGTGAGCTCTGTCAGTGACATTTCCTGAAGCAGCTCTATCAGTTTCTGCTGCTGCATTTCAAATTCACACCCCATCCTGCCACTGAATTACTTTGATGGTTAAGCAAATCCCAAGTTAAATCCAGAAATGGGTGTATCCAGTAAGCTTTACAAGATCACTGGGAGATAGCAAGGCTGGACAGTAAAAATTTGTGTCAGATCTTCTTCAGCAAAAGCTGAAGGTTAACAAGCCAGTAATGAGATACCCAGTACAGAAAGATTAGAGTCAAATATTTATCTCTGTTGCTCAAAAGGAATTTAGAGAAATTCTTAAGGGTGTTGTGTATGTCTCAGTGTGTGGGATATGAACCTGTCTCCAGAAACTGATCCAAGTAACAGGAATTTTCTCTAGTCAGACTCACATGGAAAAAAAAAAAATCACTGTCAGCTCCTCTTATCATTTGCTACAGAAATGCTTCCAGACTCCTGATCCCTTTGGAAGCAGGTCAGGATCGTCCCCAGGCCACCCCAATGTGTATGGTCATGCTTTTAATTAAACACGGACTAATAGCAAGAGGCCCCCCTACAGCCTCAGAGCTCAGCCTTTGGAAATCACCACTCTGTGTCTTAAAACACCCGTGTCCCTCCAGCTCTGCTGAACATTCCCAGTCTGTGTAACTCAAATGGGAATAGAGTCCCCACAATTTAATCTAAATTGGAGGATTGCATCTTCATCAAAGAACACAGTAAGAACATTTGAGTTGTTTTTGGAATTGCTATAAACCTTGCCTGCTGAAGGGCAGAGTGCTTCTTGATCTCTGTGGCCGATATGGATGCACTTTTCAGGAGCTGTGATATGATCTGCCTTGGACTTCTTGTCTTCAGCACTTAGAGATAAAAGCAGAATTTACCTTACTACATGGAGTCCTTGTCTTTCATCCTGTGTGACACTAAATGGTAACTAATCTAGGCTCTTCCTGCAGCCATCCAGGAGAAACAAAATCCCACACTCTGACTGGGATTCCAAAAGGCAAAGCTTACAAATCCCAGGATGTGGCTGTTTTGTAGCTCCATATAAAAGCCTCTCCTGTGCTTCATACACAGCAATAATGGCCAGGAGCTGAAAATGAACATTAAGAAGAGTAAGTGATATGAAAAAAAACCAAAACTCCAGACCCAAACAATGCAGAGATTTAACAGCTGCAAACAACCTTGGCTGAGATTCTTCCAACCAACCCAAAAAGCCTGGCTTGTACTTCCAGGGAATGAGGCCCAGAGCCTCGCATCAACCTCTCCCCTGAAACAAAAGCTGGAGCTATTTTAAGCTCTGCAGCACCAGTAAACAGGAGTCAGCAGGTCATCTCTGCTGGCTTCTGCACTCCCCAATTATTCCTCACAAGGGTCTGTACATGCCCAGCTCTCCCAGGAATTAGGGGTTAGGGTGGGTTTGACTAATATATACCATTTTTCTTTCCATCACAAAACAAAAGCAGAGAGCAAAAGGATTTTCCCAAAGGTTGCTGTCTGATCCCTGATAACCTGCTCTTCTCTCCTCTAGAGACACTTGCATAGACATAGTTTATCCAGGCATTAGGGAATACTCCACAGACAGCAATGCTGGGCAGATGAGAACAGCAGAATAAATTTATATTGATAAATAAATGTGGCTTCACCCCCTGGAGCAAACTGGGATGGCTACACTGTAAAAGCCAAAATTCGTGGAGGTAGGAAAAGACAACTCCAAAATAGGAGAAGGGCAGGCACACAGGGCAGCACAGTAACAGAATGATCTAGAAAGTGTTTTAAATGCCCTTCTTTATATCATTTCTTTAATGCCACTCTGCTGAACTTCCCGAGAAGAGGGGGTATCTTGAGCTGAGCAGCCACATTAGAGAATATAAAGCTCTGCTCTCTTCTCTCTTCCACCTCTGCTGCTTCTGAAACTCCTGGCATACACAGGGAACATTCCTTTCCTTACATTCAGAGCAGCTGAAGGTGAGACAGCAGCACAGTCAGGGGCACAGCATGAGAAAAATTCAAAGCAGATGAGAACACAGGACTCCAGCAGTCCTCTAGCTCACTCGAACTCCAGTCACATCACCATTCCCTTCACATCCCACTTCCAGTTAATCAAAAAACCATAGACTGACAAATAGGTCATAATTATGGACACAAACAAAGGTGTAGTAGAAGTAGCTTTATCAAAGTATTTAAATTTTGTGGCAAATCTCTGCATCAACATGGGCGGGGAGGCAACGAAATGCTCTGCAGTAGCAACTTCAGTTACCAAACTATTCCTTGGACAGACATTTATTACAGGTAGTTTCTCTGTTCCTACTTCTCCAAGAGTTTAAGGCACAAAAGCCTGAAAAAGGGCTTATAACATGTATATAAGTGCTATTATTTTCACTTTCATCTCTAATGCAACATATCAGCTTAAATATATTGCTTGTCCATCCAGTTTATACAACATCCAGTGGAAAACCGCTTTCCAAGTTATCAACCATTTGCTGCACAATATATCAATGCAATGCTCTGACCCGTTTTTGCTGCAAGATCTTTAGTTTCTTTCTGATTGGACAGTGGAAGACACTACAAAATCTCAACTTCTCAATGAGACCATCAAGGTGTGTCCACAATAAAAAAAATAAAGGCATGATACACAAAATAACATTTAAATATGGTTGCTGAGAGAAGTGTTTTAAACTGCTGGTTCATGGGGAATTATTTCCTCATACACAGGTGGAAAAGCAGGCCAGGTGTGCAAGGTATCATCAGGTAAAAGCTTTATAACACTCCTTTCTGTCTTTTTTCTCCGAAGTGCTCTTTGGGTTGATTGCTTAAGAATATCAAACTTGCAAGCTCAAGATCACAGCTTAAGTTAACCACAACATAAGCTTTCATCACATGCTCAAGTTACAGCAACCTTACCCAGTCACTGGAAAGATTTTGAGACATTTTAGTGGTGTCCAACAATGATCTTTTTTGAAATAACTCATTCGTGAGCGTTGGGTCAAATGACTTAAGACAGTTGAATGGGCAGCAAAGCAGAAAGATGGGCAGGAACCAAAATGCAAAGCGTAATTTTACTTAAAAGACCAACTTTTTTATTGTA